CGCACACACCCCGGGGGTGAGTTTAAGCCACTGGGTCCAGGACTGGAACCATGGTCGACTACATGGGAGGCCAGCGGCATAGCCATTACGCTATCTACTGGTCCCAAACTTAAGACCTTGATACACAGTCCTATTTCTTTACTAAAGTGATGTAAAGGCCACATTTGTCACAAGGAGATGGATATAATGGATGAACTGCTTAAATAGCAAGAATCTAGTAGCCATGGAGAAAGGTTTGTTGTTTGGGAGATAAAACTAAAGTAAAGGAGACCATCTAGGAAGATGAAGTGATATGGACAGTGATGGCCTGATCTAGGTAATTATAGTTAGCTTACAAAGGAAATGACTAAGTTGGACATTTGGAAGGAAAAAATTGTTACTATTTGGTGACTAAAAATAAAGCATGAAGGGTACAAGATGATTTCAAGCTAGTTCTATTAATAATTTGACAGTAACAGATCTAGGAATATCTTACTTGGAGGAAAAAAGACTAATATTCTCTAGTTCCCTTCAAGTATTTGAAAAATCATCTCATGGAACATCTCTGTGTGACTGTGAGAAGCAGAGTTAGTTATAGGTCAGTATCTTATAACATGTAGAATAGACTCGGTGGAATACAGGACCATCAGAGGCCATATAAGAAGATGGTCTTTAGAAAGTTTATGTAAAGTACATATTATGAAAAAGCTGGGGCAACAGGTAGCATAGTGGATAAGGTGCTGGGCTCCCATATGACTAACCACAGTTTGAGTTCTGGATCAGGTGGCTTAAAAATCACACTACGTGAGTGTGCGTGTGTGCCCAAAATCTCAAGAGGAGAATGGAGGAGACAGGATTGTGGCATGGCTGGTCCCCACTGGGGGATGATTTCCCACTTTCCCTCTCTCTGTCTGTCTCTCTGGTGAGTGCACGCCCCCTATGCCAAAAATATCTTTTGAAAGAGAGGCATTGTATGTCCCTACTTAATATATACCGTGTATCTGCACTCTATGACTGAAACTAATTGTCTAAAGGATATAGAAACGCAGTATATAGATGTAAATACCAGATATAGTGTGTGTGAAAGAGGAGGGTCTGAGGAAGGCCATTTGGGGGAGGGACAGGGAGGAAAAGCATTAATGGCACAGAGAGGACTGGTATTATCTGTTGAAGATCTTCGTGGTTTTATCGAAGGTGCTGGGGAGAGGTGTTCACCTGTTGAAATATCCATTTTGTAAGACAAATAATAATGTGATTGAATGTATGGAAGAAAATGAAATGAAAATTAATTAATTTCGAAAAAAAGCAATGCATGGGTTTCAAATTTTTACATGAAAATAAACTCTCACTTTAACTCCATATTTTCATGAACATTGTGAAGTTCCCTTATGTTTCCACACAGTAGAATAGGTTAGACAAATATCTCCTGTCTACAGGAGATATTTATGTAGAACTATCGGGTCGTCGGGAAAGTCATGATGTATTTTCGCACAGGGAAACATAGAAATGTAAGTCATGACTTTCCCGACAACCTAATAGTTTACATGGAGAATAGAGATGTGCCTCTCAATCTTTTTGTTTGACACCTTCTTATAATTATAAAAACCTCTTTTAATGTGGTGGTGAGGTGGAGCAGTGTAAGAGGGTAGAGAATTAAAGATTTTTGTTTTCTAGATATAAGTTTGCAGCGTTAAATATCTTTTCAAATGATGTATGTGTATATTTGGATTTGTATAAGGCCCTGGGAAATCACTGCAATGTCTGAGAAAGGAAAGACTAAACTTGTTTGTTAACCAAAGTCACAGAAGATAAGGTTTTATGACCATTAATAAAGGAGTAAGTTGTAGCTGCAGACCACAAGGTAAAAAGGGTAGGGAACTCAAATCTGTAACAACTTCAAAAGACCTCTGAAAAGGGACAATTAGGATGATGTTTTATTTAATTACACAATATATGTCATAAATGAATGTAATTTAGAGAAAAGTCTGTTCCTAGGGCCATAAGTTGAGGCAGTCCAGTTAGCATGTCTCTTTTATTGAAAATGACAAAATAAACTTTTGCTTGCATTCATGTGTCTCCTAGAGACCATATTAGAACAACAAATAGAGCATTCTAAATTGGATATAGTAATTTCCCTGGTCTCTTCCACCTCTAAGCCTCTGTTACTACTTTTTTAAAAAACTTATTTACTTGGGACCTGCAGTTAGTGTAATGGCTATGTCGCTGGACTCCCATGTGGTTGACTATGGTTTGAGTCCCGGACTTGGTGGCTTAAACTCACGCTAGGCACGTGTGCGTGCGTGCCCAAGATCCCAAGAGGAGAATGGAGAAGGGATTGCAGTGTGGCCATCCCTCCTGGGGGGTGATTTCTCGCTTTCTGTCTCTCTGCCTCTCTCTGTCTTTCTGGCAAGTACACGCACCCTATGGCAAAAATCTCTCAAAAAAATTTATTTACCTATTTGGCAGATAGAATTGTACTTATTGGGGCCAGCAGGTGGCGTGGTGGTTAAGGCAGTGGACTGCCACATGGCCACATGTCTGTGGCCGACTACAGTTCAAGTCCTGGACCTGGCGGCTTGCTTTTTCACTTTTCCTTTCTCTCTCTCCCTGGTCAAATTTAAAAATAAATAATAAATAAGATTAGATAAATAATTCATTTAGAAATTTGTAGGTGTTTATCTCATACAACATGATGTTTTGAAGTGTAAAGCCTCTGTTCGTTCTGAATGTTGTTATGTATGAATGGATTTCATGAACGCTTTTTTTTGGCCCTTCAGTGTAGTGTTCTTCAGAGTCTAAAAGAGCTCCTGCAGAACTGGGTGTTGTGGCTTTCTATGGACTTCCATATCAAACCTGTGATGACCAGTCCTCTGTGAGTATCTTACAACTCTCTACAAAAGATAGTTTGCACAAAAATAATTTTTAAGAGGTTTTTGCCTTAGGGCACGTGCACTTGCCAGAGGGAGAGCCAGAGACAGACATAGTGAGAGGAAAAGTGAGAAATCACCCCCTCAGTGAGGATGGCAATGCTGCAGTTCCTTCTTCAGTCTCCTCCCAGGATCTTGGGCATGCACACATATGCACCTGGCATGATTTTCAAGCCACCAGTGATTGGGACTTGAACCGTGGTTGGCCATGTGGGAGTCCAGTAATGTAACTGCTGCACCATCTGCTGGCCCTGATAAATTTGTATAAAAATGTTTGCATAGGAGTTTAAGGGTGTGGTATGAGACCTAATTATTTCATGTAAGTGGTTAGTGTTGGTTTGTCAGAAAAGTCATGACATAGTTTTCTATGCAAAGTAGAAAGATTTGAAAACCTTTTCTTTATTCATAAGTGAGTGCACTTGTGTGCAGGCAAGAGAGATGAGCATCCTCTACAGAGTTTATCCTCACTATGTTCCTCTTCTTACAGTCCTCCAGCCTATCAGATCCTGGTCACTCAAGCTTGTTCTCATCATGTTTCAGGCTAACTGAGCTGGGCATTCAAAGTGTGGTCATTATGTGGGATCTGACTTCTCTTGAGCAGTGCATTACTACTACACCACAGATCTAGCCCAGAAAGATTATTTTTGTTGCTTTTCACTGTTCTTGTCCACAATTTCATGAAAAAGGTTAATTCTACAAGTTTCTATTATAGTAGGCAGTCCTCACTAATCTGTAGGGAATATGTTCCAAGACCCTTAGTAGATGCCTGAAGCCATAGATAATATTGAACTCTATATGTACTTTGTAATTTTATATATATTTATGTGTGTGTAATTTGCTATAGGGTATGCGTATGCGCTGGAAAGAGAAAGAGAGAGAGAGAGAGAGAGAGAGAGAGAAATTTGTAGGTGTTTATCTCATACAACATGATGTTTTGAAGTGTAAAGCCTCTGTTAGTTCTGAATGTTGTTATGTATGAATGGATTTCATGAACGCTTTTTTTTGGCCCTTCAGTGTAGTGTTCTTCAGAGTCTAAAAGAGCTCCTGCAGAACTGGGTGTTGTGGCTTTCTATGGACTTCCATATCAAACCTGTGATGACCAGTCCTCTGTGAGTATCTTACAACTCTCTACAAAAGATAGTTTGCACAAAAATAATTTTTAAGAGGTTTTTGCCTTAGGGCACGTGCACTTGCCAGAGGGAGAGCCAGAGACAGACATAGTGAGAGGAAAAGTGAGAAATCACCCCCTCAGTGAGGATGGCAATGCTGCAGTTCCTTCTTCAGTCTCCTCCCAGGATCTTGGGCATGCACACATATGCACCTGGCATGATTTTCAAGCCACCAGTGATTGGGACTTGAACCGTGGTTGGCCATGTGGGAGTCCAGTAATGTAACTGCTGCACCATCTGCTGGCCCTGATAAATTTGTATAAAAATGTTTGCATAGGAGTTTAAGGGTGTGGTATGAGACCTAATTATTTCATGTAAGTGGTTAGTGTTGGTTTGTCAGAAAAGTCATGACATAGTTTTCTATGCAAAGTAGAAAGATTTGAAAACCTTTTCTTTATTCATAAGTGAGTGCACTTGTGTGCAGGCAAGAGAGATGAGCATCCTCTACAGAGTTTATCCTCACTATGTTCCTCTTCTTACAGTCCTCCAGCCTATCAGATCCTGGTCACTCAAGCTTGTTCTCATCATGTTTCAGGCTAACTGAGCTGGGCATTCAAAGTGTGGTCATTATGTGGGATCTGACTTCTCTTGAGCAGTGCATTACTACTACACCACAGATCTAGCCCAGAAAGATTATTTTTGTTGCTTTTCACTGTTCTTGTCCACAATTTCATGAAAAAGGTTAATTCTACAAGTTTCTATTATAGTAGGCAGTCCTCACTAATCTGTAGGGAATATGTTCCAAGACCCTTAGTAGATGCCTGAAGCCATAGATAATATTGAACTCTATATGTACTTTGTAATTTTATATATATTTATGTGTGTGTAATTTGCTATAGGGTATGCGTATTCGCTGGAGAGAGAAAGAGAGAGAGAGAGAGAGAGAGAGAGAGCGATAGTGAGAGGGAAAATGAGAAATCAATTGAAAAGAGAGAAAGCATATCCCCCCCAGGGGGCAATGACCACGCTGCATCCCTTCTCCTTCATTCTCCTCTCATGATTTTGGGGATACTAACATACACGCCCCACATGTTTTTCAAGCAGCCAGGTCTGCGACTCACACTACACAGTTGACCATATGAGATTCAGTTGCCCTAATCACCACACCACCTGGCTGGCCCTGTTTTTCCTTATACTTACATACCTATGATAAAGTTTAATTTATAAATTAGACATAGTAAGAGAGCAGCAATAAAGTACAGGGCCAGCCTCCTCAGCATACTGAACTGCAGAACTGGCAGCCCCATGGCCAACTATGGGTTTGGATCCCCAGTAGACCTAAAATCACATGCATACCCATAATCCTGATGGACTGGAGAGCTAGGGGAAGGTGATCACAGCGTGACCAGACCCTGTGAGGGGTGCTTGTCCCCTTCTATCCCTCCTCCCCTTTTCTTACATGCATGTATATGCACTCTCATGAATAAACTGGATAAACTTAATCATGAAGTGCCAACTCATAGCCTAGTGGTTAAGGGAACCAGATCTCGCATGGCTGACCATGGTTTAAATCCTAGCCCCAGTGGCTTGAGAAAATGCTGGGCACATGTGGGTGCATGCCCAAAATCCTGACAGAATAGAGAAATAGAGAAGGGATTGAGCTGTGACCACATCCTATTGGGAGGTGCTTTCTCTCTCTCTCTCTCTCTCTCTCTCTCTCTGTATGTGTGTCTCTTATATATGACCACATACACCCTCTGGCAGTTAAAAATAGTGAAATAGAACAGTTTTAACAATATATTGTAATAAAAGTTAGGTGAATGTGATCTCTCTCTTTCTTAAAATATTTTATTTTACTATTGTGCCATTGTCAAGTCTCCTTCTGTGTGTGGTTCATTGATTTGGGAAGAATACAAAATACTATGATGTGGTTTGACTAGAATGAAAGATGCCAAAAAGTTTGCTAATTCACCTTTAGGATTGAATTAAATTCTTTTTTTTATATTTATATACATTTTATTGTTCATACATTAAATCGCTATACATCATTTAGATTGTGAAGAGACTTTACCCAGCATGATATACACCTCAGTCTAGCCCAGTTGAGATTACTATACACATCCTCAGATTGAATTGAATTCTATTGAAAATATATATATGTATATGTTTTTTTGGGAGGAGAGGTGTTTGCTATACGGCACGTGCGCTCACCAGAAAGACAGAGAGGAGAGAGAGATAGAAAGCGAGAAATCACCCCCCAGGGGAGATGGCCACACCGCAATCCCTTCTCTTCCATTCTCCTCTTGGGATCTTGGGCACACACTCACATGTGCCCGGTGTGAGTTTAAGCCCCTGGGTCCAGGACTCGAACCATGGTCGACTACATGGGAGTTCAGCCACATAGCCATTATGCTAACTGCTGGTCTTGAAAATATTTTTAATAGCATTTTGCTCAAGAATTCAAGCAAAACTTGATTTCAGTTTTTGTCACTGTATTGCAATGTTATGGGCAGTTTCTCTCTCTCTCTCTCTCTCTCTCACACACACACACACACACACACACACACACTAATCCCACTTTCTGTTAGAAGGTGTGTATACTTGCTAGACAAGAAAGGGGAGAAGAAAGCACCCCCACATGGGGAATGAGCATGCTACAATCCCTTCTTCTCCATCTCTCTAATTTTTTTGGGCATGCACACATGCACCCAGTGTTTCTCAAGCCACTGGGTACAGGACTCAAACTGTGGAGTCAGTCACATGGAATTTAGTTGCCTCAACCACCAGACCACAATGCTGGCCCAGGTGTCACTTTATATGTCTTTGATTCAAGGATTTCCATAATTGAGGAGTGTTACATTTCAATGCTTATCCATTACTAGAAACTAATTGTGCTGGGGTCCCTGCTAGGTCTCTGGACATTGGTAACATTATGTAAAGTCTGTCTGAAAGTTAATCCTTTATTTCTTTGATATGTACTAATAGAGTTTGGTTGCTAAGGATGTCCTAGGAATTGATCTTAATGATTCTAGAGAGGGCTAAGTGTAGTTTTGTGATTAAAAAACTATGATTTTTAAAAAAATGAATTATATGTTTGAGCACTGTTAGTGTCCTGAAATCCCTATTAACTTTTTATTGTATATTATCGAAGTATGGCTTGGAAATCGTGAACATTTTTGCTATCTAGATCTGAATGTTATGGTTTCTTATTGCAGAGAAACAACTTTGGGTGGATCCATGGACTCTGTGTCGAAACTGATTCATTATGTAGGGTGGCTGTCCACTACTGCAATGCGCTTGGAGAACAACAGCACTTTCTTGCTGCACTTTATTTTGGATTTTTATGAGACGGTAGTACACATTCCGGTTTCCCTATTTAGATTTTTGCTATCCTATTCATTCTATAAGCCTATTATTTACATTTTATGTACAACCATTAAGGTGGATTATAAACTTACTTAAATAGTTAAAATAACCTCACATTTTGATGTTAAGCACTTTATTATCATTTGAGTAATTAGCTTTCATAAAGCAAAATGGGAAAACAAATGCTTTTTTTTTTAATGTCCAAATCCCACTTTTCTTTAAAAAAAAAAGAAAAAGAAAAAACGATTTTTTGCCATAGGGCACATGCACTCAATGGATAGAGAAAGTCATAGACAGAGAGAGGGTAAATGAGAACTCACCCCCTAGGGGTAATGGCCATGCTGCAGTCCCTTCTCCTACAGTCTCCTCTTGGGATTTGGGGCACATACGCACATGTACCCAGTATGATTTTCAAGCCACTAGGCGTGGGACTCGAACCATGGTCGGCCATGTGGAAGTCTAGCACCCCAACCACCATCCCATCTGCTAGTCCCCAGATACCAGTTTAATACCTGTCATAGTGCTGTCCCTGGACAGAAGTCTGTTTCTAGCATAATTTTTTGCTCATCCACTGCATATCCTCAGTCCTTGGCAAAAACCAAAGATTTCTCCTTTTTCTTCAGAAATTCTCTCCCACCTTTAAACTACCTTATTTCTCCTGGTACTTAGTAACTTTATGATGATTATCCTTCTCTTTAATTATTTTATAGTATTCTACCTAGCCAGAACCATTATCTATGAAGTACCCCATTATACTCTCGTTTTTCTTACCTTCACTAATGTCTAGTTATCTTGTGTTGAATATTTGCTTCAGAAACATTCCCCTTTGTTTGCCAGGTTGACAGCTACGTAATTTAATAAAAAAGTATTTAAGAGACTTGAGAAAGAAATGTTCTCTTCTTCTACCCTGTACCCCAGAAAAAAATTAAAGACTTTAGTAATGGTCTTCTAAAAATAATACTCTATGGTGAGGTATATTTTAAATAGGCCTATTGCTACCTGTTCTAATTAGGAATTGAGTAGGTCCAAACCTAGGATTATATCATTATTTTTTAAAGAGATTTTTGCTATAGGGTACATGTATTTGCCAGAGACACAGAGAAAAAGTGAGAAATCACCTCCTCCCATCCTGGGGGGATGGCCACATTGCAATCCCTTCTCCATTCTCCTCTTGGGATTTTGGGCATGCACACAAATGTGCTTCAAGCCGCCAGGTTCAAGACTCAAACTGTAGTCAGCCATGTGGGAGTCCAGTGCCTTAACCACTATACCACATGCTGGCCCCTATTGTTTATCTTCTACTGATATTTGGGTGAATTTCGTAGAGGAGTTCAGGAGAACTCTTCAACATATACTAATGTTGTCATTCTTCCCACAAGGTATGTGACATATACATAAATTATAACCTTCCATTAGTGGTGTTGTTTCCTCCTGGGATCTTCTATCCTGCACTCCTCAGCCTGGATTCCAGTATTCTGAACCAGCTCTGTTACATTATGTACAGGTACAAAGCTTTCCTGATTTATGAATTAGTACATCATAATTTTATCTTCATCTTGCAACTATAATATAATATTGGGTTGTCAGAAAAGCCATGTTGCATTCTTGCATAGAAAAACATAGAGAAAATGTATCACAATTTTCCAACAACCCAGTAAAATCTCCAATTCATTTTCTTTTTATTTATTTATTTTTTTTTGAGAGGTTTTTAGGGCGCATGTGCTCGCCAGACAGACAGAGAGAGACAGAAAGCGAGAAATCATCCCCCACCCCAGATGGCCACGCTGTAATCTCTTCTCCTCCATTCTCCTCTCGGGATCTTGGGCACG